ACCAGTTTTAAAATAGTTTGGCTCTAGGTTAGATTAAGAACCTTAGATCTGGCCTTTGCCAGGCTCTTGGTCAGTGAAGATGAGCAAAAAAAGAGGGCAAAGAGCAAAAAGGGAGCAAGCAAATTTTTTTTGATCCACTTTCCTCAGGGCGCCAGGAACAGGTTAGTCAGATCAGCAGGCTAGTAAACACAACCACCAAAACCAAGGTGAATTTCTAATTTTTGTCACCCTATAATATTTCAAATTTTTATTCCAAATCCCAGATTATTATCTAAGACTTTAATGCTCTTCACTAGGTGTAATACCAACTTTTGTTCAAAAATAACTAAGGAAACCCCACAAATGCAGCTCAAAGTAACCACTCAAGTTACAAAATGGACAGTTCTTTTGTTTGTACATATTTAAATTAGTTAAAGAGAAATCAGTTGTTAATCATGCATTCAACGCTGACTATTGAAGTTAATTAAGCTCACTATTTGCGTAAAAAATATGATAACTTGTTCTTACCACATAATATTCCAGTAGTCCTGAATGAGGATCTAACGTGAACCACCTAAATTGCCAGCCCTTCATGAGATTTGTCCACTTACTAAGCTGTCCCTCTGACGGTTTCCTTTGAAAACGGTACCATATTATTAAATGGGGTCTATAATAGCTAGACCATCTTCTTTATCATAATCAGTTTCTCTAATTGATAATTATTATCAATTTGAGAAACTGATCATGATCTAGAAGAAGTCCTAGCTATTATAGACCTCATTTAATAAAAAAATCCCTATAATTACGGCATAATTATAAAACAAAAATATCTCACCTAAATCTGTCTTCATCCTTTTGATCCAACACCTACAATGAATAACGCAAACCACAGAGGACAAGATAAAGTTAACAAACTGTTTTACCAAGAGAACAAATTGTGACTCAGATAGAGACGATAAAATCATTACAACCTAATGTTTAACAGGCAAAATACTTGAAATCAAGAGAAAGATCTCCATTATTCTTCACACTCACTTTAGCTTTTTGCATAACACCAAGAATAACAGTCTTCTCTTCCTCAGAAAACTGACTCAGATCGATATCTAGGTCAGCAAAATAAGGATCTTTTAGGATGTCCTCAGCGACCGCCATGTTGACTGGTGCTACATTGTTTGAGTCTCGCTTTCGTGTGTACTCAAGTTGACTGTCCTGGGGAGGGTGGTCTTGACAAGCTCATCCCCACCTTGATCCCCACCGAGCTGTCTGAGTGGCATGTGGAGCCGTGGAGTGCAACCGACGACAGTCAAATGTTTTCTTAACAACATAAAGCAAAAAACAAGGACAGAAATGTATTTGAAAAAAAAAGTAAATGTGACTTGTATGTCGTAAATTTTACCAAATAATCAACCTTCTTTGCGTTGAAAATGCTTCACCCCCCCAGCAAACTTGCAATTGGCCATTCATCATTCATCAGCTGTCAAGATTCTCTTTTTGTAGCAAACGTTAACTTTCAAAAATCTTATCAAATCAACAGAACATTGAAGGAGGTGTTATGCTTTGAACGGCAATCACTATACTGCAAAACAGTCCATATATATTTTTGCGTATTCAAGTACACTGTACGCACGAACAGTTAAACAAAAGCCGAAAACGGAGAGCGAGACCGGATTTTTTCTCTCGCCTCACCTGCCCTACGTATTCGTGCATGTGAGGCTCACGCGCTTACTCTTACGCTGCTCCTACCCTACTCTAAACCAATTTTGGGGAAAAAAACCCGACTGTTTTGCAGTCTAGGTAATCACGTAATACCAATAGTCCTGACGTGGAGGCTTCGCCCTACTTTTTCAAGAATCAGGTATATAAAAGAGTAGGTATTTCACGAGTTGACTGAAGTACACGAACGGATAGAGAACTCTATTTAGGTATTCAAAGGGGCCTTGAATTAAGATATCTCGAACAGATGGTTCACTATGGCTTACCGTCATGTTCTCCCTAACTTCACTCCCAAAGGCCGTTAGGTGAAAAGCGGAGCTTTTTCAATGGAAGGTGTACAAAAGGGGTACATTTTCTATAAAAAAATGATACCAAAAAGGGTAAGGGGGTGGGCATCAAGGCGAAGCCTTCCCGGAAAAAATTGTTGAGTAATCCCCTCCCTCAACCCCACAAGCTGCCCTCCCAATGCAAAAGATTTTATTTTTTTAAACTCGTCGATCGTCCCTTAAGTAACCGTTCTGTCAAAAACAGAAGAAAAGAAAACTGGACTATGGAAATGTTCACATCGCATGCAGACCTACTCATACCGTTGACGGTAGATCAGCTAGAAAAGTATATACTGACTATCGACTGGCGGGTAGGTGATCGATTATACCTTTTCTCCGGACTTCGTGTATTTCGCGGTCTCGTTGTTGGAACTGTACAAGGTGAAGTGTTAAAAACAGAAAAGTGAAAGCTAGCTAAAACATTAACACCAGAACAGCCTACCTTTCTTGAGTTTCTTTCAACCACTCCTTCTTCCCCTTAC